TGTTTATTTTCTGTATTCTCTAGTTATTTTACACTGACGATTATGAATTGGTCTCATTACAACAGGGTCGTTGTCCATATTGTCATACAATGAAAGAATAAACAGCAGTATCTCCCTCCAATATGCACATACAAGCACACTTAAACACAACATTAAAAAACACAAATAATGTGTTGAATTAAAGTAAACATTAAACTTTGAAGCATATAAACGTTGAATATTGTACAATTACTGCATACAAAATGTGTTTTACTAAATAAATATGAAAAATACTTTCGAATTTTTCTTCTTCTCAATGAGTTGAATTCAAGGAGTTGAAGTCGGATAATAGTTTATTTGAACATGCTATAGATAGTTTATTTAACAACAGTATCATATAATGTGGAAACGGTGAACTGTGTTTTGTAACATTGTAAATTTATATATGATATGATTTACAACCGAGTTGAGCGTGTCGACCACTTCACTTACCTTGGAAGTCTCATCAGCCTTTGCGATCTGATGTGTGACGAAATGTCGACTAGCTTTCGCCAACTTGCGTCATTTATAGCGTAGGCGAGATATCTGTCTACCAACCAAAGGACGGGTTTACTGCGCAGCAGTTCGTTCCATCCTACTTTATAGCTGTGAAACATGGCCGGTAAGAGTAGAGGATATTCATAGTGTTATATCCGGTGAAGATTAAACTACAGGTAAATTCCAAGGACTATTCATGGACTAATATTCTATAAATATTCTTATTGTATAACTACTCAACAATTACACTATGTATATTTATATTCCTTTTATGATAAGCTTTATTTTGACCTAAAACTTATTATTGTACGATTTACGGTTCTTAAGTTATGTTCAGTTTATTAACTACTGCCTCCCACATTCACAGCCACTTTTTGGGCTTATTTGTGTACAAATATTATTTCCTATTTTATGGTACGTTGCGGTCTGTGTGATTGATATATAAACCAAGTATGCCTGAAATAAACGATCTGCTCTGATTCGGAAGCTGGTATCTTGTTCTGGACTCAAGTGGAAGGGCTCGTAGGACATAGGACCAATAAGGACGCTAAACTGCCCACACCGGTTGAACGTCATTGGTTGGCCTAGTGTGAAGATTCGTATAAGTCGTATTCGGATTGATAGATAAGTCGTGTAATAGGAAAATCAGACATCCAAGGTCATAACACATAGGTTACTTGTATTCGATCGTAGGTATCTTGGAAACATTGCTCGTATATCCTGGGACCATGGTGTAAGTAACGCAAGTGTTAGGAAACGGGTACTAGGTAAGGATGGTAAATCAATTGATGAAGTAGTGAAACGTTATCAGTTGAGATGGCTGGGACACGTGTTACGTATGCTCAACCACCGACTGCCTCGATGTGCGATGTTTTCTGGTGTAGGAGTAGGTTGGAAGAAGCTAAGGGCAGCCGAACGTAAACATGGCACAAGTCCATGAAGTCACTGACAAGTGGACTGAGTCATATTGGTAGGTGTAGACTACCTGGTTGGGGACCGCGAGATGATAGCAACCGATGGTTAGAGACCTTGAATGACATGGCTCGAAATCGTTTGCAATGGCGCAGGTGTATCCACTCTTTGTGTTCTCCCTAATTCTAATCTTCTGAATTTTTCATGTCCCGCTCTTTTCTCTTTCTAAATTTATTTCATTGAATTATACTCCTTGAATAACATCTTCAAACCCTAATGTTTCCGATTACTGCTTCTACTCTTACTTCCTGTACCACTATGGTACATTTACACCATAGCGAAATTCGTAACTTCGTGGATTGGTTGAAGTTAGGCATTAACGACATTGGATGCCTCCTCAACGGCCTAGAGGTTATGCGCTCACGCGTGAGACTGATGGGTCATGGGTTCGAATCTAGCTATGCTTGATCATCGGTACGCAATGCTGAGGATTCCTATACTAGAACGAAACGGCTCGTCAGTGCTTCCAGGTTTTCAATGGTGGTCCAGCTTGGATCAAGCCATCAATTCAACTTTCAAAATCCAAATAGATTAGTGGAACTATAGAGTTTTATTAACTCGTGCAACACATATCCTATACATTGCCTACTACAATGCGCTAACCTGTTTGACGTTATTGAAGGTTAAAATAAATCACAGATTAGTGTGTCAGGCCATGTGGAACAATACAGATTTACTGATTGTGTTACGCTTGGTAATTATATTTGATGCGTTTCATATATCCCAGTTTCCGTTGTCATATTATTATTCAGATAATTATAACTTGTGTAGTAGAGCTTTTTTTGATTGCATCAGTGTTTTGGTACTGTAGCACTGCTAACTGGTAACTTACTGATATATTATTCAAGGTTATTCATAACTGAAGAATTAAAAGTTAAGCCTAGTTATATCTAGACTGTAGTACTGAATAATGTTTCCAAATATGACAATCCCTTGTTTATAAATTTGCATAGGAAGATAACAAATAATAAACTTAGTTTACTTTGAATAAGTAGTAATTACAAGAGTACAAACTTCATCTTTATTATTCATAATAATTCAAGTCGTGAATCTCGGTATAAAACTACTCTACAGGAGCGATATCGGTTAGTAGCTGTTTAATTGTAGTTAGATAAGATCATTCGGTGAGGCTATAATTTATAGACGACCTTCGAGCAACGCTAAAATGACCTTGAGAGTGTCCACCTAATAAACACGACCAAATGAGGGTTATAAACTAGTGTGAGGTATTGAAATTGCAATTTACAGTGCATGACTAAGGTTAGAAATTAGATTTCGGGTTATCATTTAGAACTGACATCAGCTATAATGCCAAAACTCTATTTATCCAAAATCCGAAACCTGTTATCTTATACGTGACTGGTGCGTCCATAAATTATAGTCTCGCCGTTCATTCAAATGTGTTCAATTATTGTTGAGCGTTATCTAGCTCTGTATTTTGTCTTTTTCAAGCTCTCTCTATCGGCTACAACTAACTTGTGTTCTATGTGTAAATCATTTGTAACGACTGAACCACATTCTCTATTAAATCTAATCTTCATTACTTGAATTTTACAACAATATAAATGGTATCTAGATGTCAAGTTAATTCATGATTAGTATTAAAGTTCCCTAAGTATACTACTTATTAGTAACTCATATTCTATTACAAAACATTTCATCGTAGTAAGTGATAAAATTATGTCACACAGATCTTTCAAGTCTTCAGCTCGTTGAAGGAACATAAAAAAACAGTCATTTATTGTCATTTTTCGATTACAGGCTATTAAGCAAGACTTATTATCTATCATCACATGTATGATAACACCACAGTTAAAAGATATATTCATGCTTGGTGAGTACCATGATTGAAAGTAGTATTTTAAATAGTATAGTTAGATTTGAATTTTACAGCCTATTTTGATTAATTAGAACAATCTACATTACAGGATAATTCATAAAATTAGATACTGTAATATACTGGGAGATGCGTAGCGCAATAAAAATATGCTAAAACTTAACTTATTATTATGGGGATTGTAGAGGTTGATGGCTTATACGTTATTAATCATTTGAACTTGAGACTAGAATTGTTTGGTTCAGTTCGCAACTGTGAGGTTGTTCAGATTTTCAATAGTTACTTACTCCTTCTCGACTTTTATTTCATGCTTGTTAGAGCCCTCAAAGTGGATTCAAATCTTACAAACTGTTGGGGACGTTAGATCCCCAGAACTCAATCGGAAAAGAACGTAATTTTGTAATTTTATTTAGGAAATTTGAATTTCTTTGTTTTCGCTCCAAAATCACCTTCTTCACCTTCATGTCGTATTTCTCACTTGGGAGAATCTTAAACGTTATTGGTCCGTTGTGTTTTTTAGTATGCCATTTTGTAACCCATCCAAAGGACGGTTTTGTGCTGTATATATACGTTTTGATTTGTGTCCGTTGTTATCGTTCGTGCTTCTGGCTTCTTGCAGAATATACTTCCCCGTTCGCACTTCCACTTCTCTTTCTAATTATCGGGGCTGAGACGCAATAGAATAGCTAGTTTATTGGTCTTTGGTCACAATTTTTATTCTGTTCGCAGTCTAAATGAACTAGTAATCGCTTCAAACCCAGTAAAATCAGCGACATGGATGGGATTCGAACTCAGACAAGGAAACCCCAATGGAAACCTCAATAGAAAACCTAGCATAAACGAGCCTCTTTCCTCTCAAAATGATAAACACATTCTTCTTTTGATTATCAATCAGCACAAAATCTTTCAAGTAGAATTTCTTTCCAACTATTTCAGCTACCGAATATCCGACTTCACCATACAAGACAAAAAGTCAATATCCTTACATTATAGTCATGTTTATTCTCTCAATTAATTGTTATAAAGATCTAATTCAAACAAATTTGGCATGATTTAAAATGTATATTATTTCCATTAAGGTTCTTTTCTTTTTTTTTTAAGAAAATAATAATTTTTATCAAATGGATCACAGGTTTATGATAAAGAGATAAACAAATGTATCACCATAGTAACCTTTGAAATCTTTTTAAAAAAAGATTAAATATTGAAATAGATCTAATTCAATCTCAAAGTTCGTTGGAATTGGCAACTCTTCTCTTTGATGATGATAATAATAATAATAATAATACACATATTAACCCGTAAACAACAATGTTAATTAAGTAATTAAGAATAAAAACACTAAATGATCAGTTACCATTCGTTTTTTTTCAAAATATACCTCATACCACTAATGATGACGTAATACGTAGAAACGAAATTGTTTACATCATTGATAAATACTTTAAAACAAACCATGTAATCAACTTGATGTATTTGATACTTTGATCATATGAAAATAAACTTTACTCTTTTATTTAAACAAACATTTGAAATTAAATAAATTGAACATTGAACAATTGAATTATGAATAGTTCAGTTCAGTTCAGTTCCGTTCAACAACAACAACAACAAGAACAAGAAAGAAGAAGAAGAAAAATGGTATAAATACAACACTGAAATTGAATTATGTTTTAACTGAAATAAACAATAATGAAAACCATAATGAAGCAATTTTACATTTTCATTGTTTTATTAAGTAAATAAACAATAACAAAAAGTGTATTTTTTTTTGTTACTTTATATTTTATTGTTTCTAGGTATCAATGAAGTAACCTTAGGAAATGAAGAGAATGTAAGTATATAAAGTATAAGTAATCTTTTGCTTAATAAAATGGTTTATCTCCTTTAAACAAAATATTAAATAGGATGATTTCTTATTGGATCATTGAACGATTGAAGGTTCTCGGTTCGAATCTTGCGAGACGAGATCGTGGATGCGTACTACTGAAAAGTCATATAATAGGATGAAATGACGGTCCAATACTTCCAGGTTTTCTATGGTGGTCTGGTTTTAATTGATTCATGGTTTCAACTATTGAAATTACTAGTATAGGGGTTATGGAGATTATTAAGTTTTTGATTGAGATCATGAATCGATTGATGTTAGACCACTTTTGGAAACCTGGAAGCACTGGAAGGCTGTTTCGTCCTATTGTGCGACTCTTCAGCAGTGTGCAGCCACGATCCTGATCGCAAGATTCGAATCCGGGCCTTTGGTCTATTGAAATTAATATAATATCTACAAAAACCGCTTTTGATCCTAAGATATATTTGTCAAGTTAGTGTTTATAATAGATGTATCATAAGATAGTTTTCTAATTGAATGTCAAACTTTAATGCCAGTTTTAAAGCAGATACTATTTTTAATAGTTGAATTCATGAGTCCATTGAAGCTAGACCATCATAAAAAACCTGGAGGCACTAGATGGCCGTTTCGTTCCAGTATGGGACTCCTCAGTACTGCGCATCCACAACCTCACTCACAGGATTCGAACCGAAAGATTTCGGTCTCGCGTGCGAACGCAATGTCGTGGATATGTACTGTTGAGGACAAAACGTCCGTCCAGTGCTTCCAAGTTACTACAATCGCCACAAAAACCCTTTCTGATAATGTTTTTTTGTCAAAACTTTGTTTTAACTATTCAAATATCGTATATTTTTCTAAGTAAAATCAATAACCGATTAACATAGAATTCACCTTTATAAACTATTCGTAGATAAAGATTAGCATAGGAACTGAATAAACAGCTGATAATTATTACTTACAAACTGTTGATACATATTAAGGAGGAGAAATGTATTTGTAAAATCTCAGCAAATGAATTTAAAGTAAATCCAAAGTTTTGCCTGATAATCTGGTCCAAGCTTTTACAACGAAGTATAATCAAACATCACATTTATCAAGTATAAATAAGTACATCGATCAATTAAAGTTAGACGTTGACATCGTTTGATGCCGACTCAGCGGTTTATAAATTAAGCATTCTCGGACGAGACCGAAATTCCTGGGTTTGAGTTCCTATGGTGCAGGATCGTGGATGCACATTAATGAGGAATCCCAACCTAGGACGAAACGGCTATCCAGTGTTTCCAGGTTTTCAGTGATGGTCTAGCTTAATCAGACGTTTGAAATAAACCATGAAAACACCTCAATCTCCACAAATCCCTATACTAATAATGTGTTATTCTTTGAATGATATGATGTTTTAAGTTACTAGAAGTCAGTATATCAAGTAATAAAATTTCAAAATGTATTTAATGATTTATTTCCCATTTAATGAGTAAACTACACAACTACTTACAGCATTGTTGGTTACATTACTTTGATTGTTAGTTCGAAAAGTGAAGTGTAACTTTTTTATAGTCAGAGTCGAACGAATTAGGCTTGTAACATCGTGATAATTTGAGTAGGCGGTATTGCGTTCAACCATAAATTGAAATTTCACAATTACCGCTTGATGTTGGATTTTAATTATATAAAAATAAGTTAGTCGTCTGACGTTATTTCCAGTTGGTATCTGTTTGTCATAAAAATCTGTTTCAGTATCAGTTCTGTTTTGTAGGAAAACTACACTAATAAATCTGGTTTTCATTAAGATTTTGAGATGATGGAAAAGATTTGTAGTTCAAATGAATGATTTTGATGGAGTTTTGTTCTCTGAGATGGCTGGTTTGGTTGTGAAACTTTCATCGTTCTTCTGAACGACAACATCAGCACAAACTTCAGATAGAAGTTTGTTATATTAATACTTACATTTAATACAAATCTTAGTCATAGGGAGAGAATACAACTAAGATGACATTACTTACTTACTTACGCCTGTTACTCTTAATGGAGCATAGGCCGATGACCAGCATTCTCCAACCCACTCTGTCCTGGGCCTTCTTTTCTAATTCCATCCAATTATTCTTCATTTTTCTCATTTCTATCTCCATTTCTCGTTAAAAAAACGCTAACCAGAAAAATTATTCGAACCTTTTAAGATGACATTATAACAGTGGTAATATCTACTTAACTATTCAGATTATATAATATTCTTTTTAAAATCAATATTGTTTATCTCATTTACAAACATTCATACTTTTCTTTAGATATACGGTGAACAATTGAAAAGACCACAATGTCATCTCCGTAAGACTTGACTCATTTCATCTTTTTTTTAAAAAAAAACATTTCAAGTTGCAGTTCATTTGGTGTTGTTTTACTTGCATCTTTACATTGATATTTAGGACTGCAATTGATCAGTTTCATGTTGGCATATGTGCAGCCTGTGCGGATTGTCTCGATATAGCTCTGTAAGCAAAGATTGATAGTGGCTAGCAGTGGAATTTAAACTTCACCCCATTTTACAAGCAGGTGGCTATCAGGACTCAGTAGCTAGGTGGATAACGCAATGGCGTTGGAAGTGAACAGTACTGGGCTCGAGTCCCGGAGTGAACATGAACTCTGGGATACAGGTACATCCAGTTGACGAGTCCTAAATAGGACGAAACGCGCATCCAGGATTCCACTGCTAGCCACTATCTATCTCTGTTTAATTTCAAGTTGTTTTTAACTTAAATCTTGTTCATATAAAATGGATTAAAACATTTTACAGTAACAGTTATGATAAAAAGGGTAATACTTTTCATTAAACATTCTATTTCATATGTTGTGATACGCATCTACAATAGGATCGTACGTTGAATGGTAATCAATCTAACTCTGAATCAATTTTGATCATCAATAATTGCAGCTGACCAGTGCAAGATAGTGACGTATGAGTGATGTTGTATGGTATTTTGAAGTTCTAAGAGATTATCAAACTGTGGCTGATTGTTTCTTGGTACTTTTTCAAATAAATGCCTATATGTGAATATTTATCCCCCCCCCCCTGTATAAGAAAACATTCAACAAGCTAGTTTAAAATTTAAGATTATATAGCTACACTGGAAATTTCTGCATTTGATTCCCGATAAAGTTATAAGTATTCATTATTGATGAGTTCCATACTAAGACATACACTTATCCAGTCCTTCCTAATACCTTCAGTAACATTAAATCATGATAAATATCACTTACAAAATTTATTTCTTTTACAAGAATTCTTCTTCTTCTTCCATTAACTGAATAATCATAATCGTTTGTTATTTTCGTCCAGTATGCGGAATTTGTAGACGTATAGGAAGATTGGTAAAAACATTCATTGAACATGAACCATTCCTCCCATTAACCTCAAAAATAATATCTCAGATATGCAAATTAATTCCTGAAGAACAGTGGAGAGATGAAGTAATATACTTACATTATTACTAATTTTTTTTGTATAAAATATTAACGTATTTATCTTTAATTAAGAAGTTTTAAATACTACTTATAAGTAGTACTCTTCTGCAGCAATTTGGAAAACTCTCCCGGTCTCCAACATTGTACGAGTATTCCATGTTCCTAAATAAATGATTGCTCTGGTTGTCAGAAGAGGCATCAGCCTCATGACTTCCTAAGAAACTCGGCTTTCATCATGAGGCGTCATAATTCTTCTAAATGAAGACTTTCTGACTCCCAGGGCAGAGTTTAAAAGGTTTGAATAATTTTTTCTGGATAGCGTTTTTTTAGCGAGTTAGTTTTCTACGGGATGGGGACGCTAACTCCATCCCCAACCCTCCTCCTTTATCCGGTTTTGGGACCGGCAGTAGCCGCCGGAGGGTTTCCAGTCAGAGTTAAGTAGTACTGTTCACAGTACGAAATAATAATGTAATATTTCATGTTCAAAATAAATGGGATTAAGAAAAAAATCCTAATTGCAAACTGATAAATAAGGATCGAGTTTTTTGATTATATTGAACACTTTTTCAAATCTAAATTTTGAAGCGCTTTAATTGAAAATATAACATTATGTTGCATTCAAATATTGGGAACGCTAACCATAAAATCTGGGAATGTATACTTTTATAGTTGAATTCATGAGCCATTTGAAGCTAGATCACCATAGAAAACTTGGAAGCATTAGATGACCGTTTCATCTTAGGTTGAGACTCCTCAGCAGTGCCCATTCACGATCATGTCCCGCAAGATTCTTGAGGAGAATGTACACTTTGTTTAAAAATAGATGGTCAACAAATGACTTTAGATACAGATTCCATGCTATTTGGCACTTGTTAGCAAAACGTACATGTAATCGTGAATGGATCTGTGCTCCATGCTAGATCTTATCACGTGTCACCCAACCTAAAAGTCAGAGACGCTACTACTGAGCCTCAATTCCTCCACGATTACAGATAAACCTTGCTGACAATTACCATATATATATATATATATATATATATATATATATATATATATATATATATATATATATATATATATATATATATATATATATATTATGATGGAGTCTTGTTCTCTGAGCTGGATGGTTTTGTCGTGGAGCTCAGAGAATAAAATTCCATCAAAATCATCCATCTGAGCTGCAAATATTTTCCATCATTTCAAATTGTCCATTTTTAACAGTGTCTGGACATTACAAATTATTTACCGAGGACAATTCATCAATTGGCTCATCATATGAATGTTACCTTAGAATGTTCTGTAAGTAAACTATTCATTATTATGATGTTTTTGTTTTAATCATTAAATACCCTGTTTCTTTATTTTGATACTTGAAGTATTACGTAAGCTAATAACATTTTACACAAAATCCATATGACTTAAGTAATATATGTAATGATCAACCAGGCGGTTAGCTTGAATAAATTGTAATCATATAAAACAGACAGTTTCATAAAATAATTCGTTCTTAATAAAAACTTCATTTTAAAAATATATACAATCGTATTTTATAAGATGGATGATGATGGCCAACAGTGGAATCCAGGACTCGCGTTTCGTCCTATCTGGGACTCATCAGTCAGACATATATTTCCATCTCAAAGTTGATATTCTGTCAGTGACTTGAACCTAGTACCATTCGCTTCAAACGCCATTTCGTTATCCATTTAGCTATTGAGTCCTGATAGCCACTTGCTTTTGCAATGATATGAAGTTTAAATTCATTTAGTATAGTTTTTTTATATTTTCTCATTGTTGTTAATCGAGTCCCAGAGTGAACATTATCTCTAAGATGCAGGTACATCTAGTTGACGTGTCCAAAATAGAACGAAACGCATGTCCTAGATCCCATTGCTAACCACTATCCATCTTTGCTTATAAATATAATTTATGTGTTTCAATCAGTTATATAATTCTTTTTTTATATATTAGAAACTAGGTTTCTGTCACCATAAACACACAATGTTATCAGATTCTGAAATTTCATCATGTAAGTATAAAATTTCTTAAATACATATATTCTCGATGAATTGCTTATAATGTTCTATTGAAGTTAGTCAATGGAGCATTTACCATTTCAACTGTTTAATATTGGCTTTTTCTACACGTCAAATTTTACAGCTATAAAGTTGGGTAATCTAAATCCAATAATATACAATTATTAGTATAAGGTTGTGGAGATTGTTGAGCTTGTAGGGGTTCGTACTATGTCAAGATCACATGGGTTATTCTAACCTCAGATCAATCTATTCATTCTTCTCAAGCCACTTTTTAACCCAGTTAATCATTCGCTTATCAACCTTGACTGATTTTATGTGAGCGTATGTGTGTACATCTCTTATCTTACTCATGACTTGTTTGTAAATTATTTTTATCTGCGGGGAGTTGGTTTACTCGGCTACTCCACTAAGTATCACTTAGTTTCATTTCTCTCTCTCTCTCCCATTCGCTTCCTACTCTCTGTCTCCCTGATTGTCTGTTCAGACCAACGATTGTACGAAATATACGTATTTGCAGAATATACTTCTCATCAAATTTGATCCTATCCCTGTCGCAAAATTTGCTAGGTTTGAATCTATCACGAGTTCACTTAATCTGCGAACGAGAAACAAGACTCGGTGACCGAAGACCAGTAAGCTAGCTATTGATGAGTCCCAGCCCCGCTAACTAGAGGGAGAAGTTCAAGCTTGGAATGAGAAGTATATTCTGCAAACAGCCAGAAACGAGCGAACACAACAATTGAAAACCGTGAACACTGGTGTAAAACACGACAATAGAAAAGAGGACTGTGTTCGATATGAGAAGTTACAAAGTAATTATATACTCAGTTGAACAGAGACTTCAGTCTTCCGTTGGCATCTTACGATATGTTCTGCTATATAAACTGTCATCTCGCCTGGTCTCCAAGTGTTCCGCCAAACCTGTGCTTTCGATGCTCTGAAACTCTTCACTCTATCTGATAATGGTAACAACTTTGACGTCACGTACTTCCACACACTACTTACAATATTATGAATGACGTTCACTTTACTGGATGACCGTTTCGTCGCAGAATAAGACTCCCCAACAGTGCTCATCCAAGTTCCTGCACGCGAGGCTCCCATCCAGCACCTTTAGACCATAAAGTCGAGACCAAATGGTTTTAATACCTACTTTTAACCAATCCACGATAGTGTACGCCCATCTTTCATTGTCTTTGGCTAGTAAAATTGATAAATAACATATTGTATCATTCCCAAATCTTTCAATCTAGAGATAAAAAATTTATAAAAAGTGTTAGTTTGTTTTAATAAAGTTGGATTGTATAGTTTCCAGTTTACTTTGTAACAGTTTAACTCCGATGTTTTGATGACTTATTTTAGGAAAAAGACCCTATTGATTTTCAAGACATTATTCTTTTTTCAATTTAGGTATTAATGAGCATATAAATTATGGCTTGTCTCTAGCCAAATCACCAGAATATGAAGAGATAATCATAAAGAATGTGTGTAAACATCATGCAGCTGATAAACACAAAGTAAGTATTCATAATTTTTGAGATGGTTTTCATAATGGGGAACAATAGATCAATATTGTGAACTCATAATCTCATGATAGTGCATGTGATTCAAGTTGAAAATGTAATTTTTCAGTTCCAATTTAGCTATTTTTATTATTTGACTTCACCTTGATTGCTGTTAGAGGTATGAGAAGAGTTATCACTTCATGGTTGCCCACCCCAAGAAAAGGTTCTTCTCGAGATACCTGAAAAGCAAATTGGATTAAAGATGGTCTTAGTGACCTGAGAGAGTGACTGCAGTGACCAAAGGACAACTGCTGGAGGTCGGTCACACACGATCTTTTTGTCAATAATTTTCGTGTTAGCTCCATACTTGTTGAGAACTTATCAACGGAGACGGATATCCGTGAGATAAAGCCAGATGTGCATTTTCAGGGTCGACCTCTTCTTAACCCATCCCTCCTTGTGAGAAGTCAGCATCACTGTCATGCTGGCTGTTTGAAGGAAACACCTTACTACCGTCACACATCTGTACAATCAGCAGTACGACTTCGCCTTCGGATCTTGAGTTTATTGCTTTTAGTCTTACCACTCTTCAATCGACCTGTCTGATATGGTAGGACCTTGAGGAACGGATGTTCTAGCCAGTATAGCTTGGTTGCTTCATCACGATAGGCAAGCCCGGCCACCACGTTAAGGTAGCAGCAGTGGTCGGGTCATAATCGATCACAATGGCGTCGGTGTATACACTCTCTGTCTTCCCTGAAATCGTGAGATTAAAATTACTTTATACCTTTCCTACTAATTCTTTCCTCCTGTACTATCTCCTTATACACAATCTTTCTTTTATATATTACTACCTTTGAAGTAACTACTTCTATGAATTTGATGTTCATCTTGTTGTGCTAATGAGGTATGGCAACTTGAACCGATGCACATATATGCCTGATCTTACGTTGTAGCTGATGGACTGACTGACCTCACCATGAGAAATGAAGGATATTAATTGTGATCAGTTGTAAAATTTTGAATGATCAATGTTTCAAATTAGAATGAAACAATTATTTTCAGTGATTATTCATCTGAACTTGTTTTTAACATCAACAAAAGTTTCCAGAAAACAATTTAATTCAGTCATTTAAACTAGAGATTAATGATTGGAAAGCGGCAAATTTGAAACTTGACAGTACATCGAACCTGGGAATCGAAATCAGAACTTTTGATTTAGTATGTAAAAGCTTAATACCTAGACCGCTGAGATTTGATATGGTTGTGTATGTGTCAAATTTCATTCAGTCCACGATATTTCATGACCATCCTTCTTTGTCTTCGATGGGCATCTTCCACACAACCGACAAGGTTGAACTATGATCTGTTCATGGTCGCAACGAAATTCAACAACCTACACAAGCTTATATTGACAATACAAGTCTTTGTATAAACATTTTCAGATATATTGGGTCCTCGAACTCTTTGCCGGTAGCGTTTTTCAAAGACATTTTCGTTAATAAAATAAGCTGTTTGAAAATAAAAATTTTAAAGCTCATAAGAAGAGCACAATTAATATGATCATCGAGTCGACTTTTAATGACATGCATTTATGTGACGAATGCTACCTACAGAATAAATTGATCTTCATTAAACCACTTCAACTAGAGCTAAATTATGATCTCACTAGTGATTCAATTCGTGATACCTTCCTGAAGCTCTACTTAGAAGTCATAGCTCATGAAGTTGAAAAATTTCGGTTGAGAAAAAGTCGACACCAGTATTTTTTGCTGATAATCGAGATACAATGAATTTCTTGAATTTGAGATTGTTTTCCAGCAAATTATATCCCAACGGTTTTAATGAGTGAGTACTCTCCCTCAAGATCTTTAACATCCACGATTCTATCTTTGGTGTGTGGTTTTGAAGTATACCCTTCTGACGAGCCCTACGTTTAGATGAAACAGATATCCCGTGGTTCCTGGTACTCAAAAATGATCGATCAGGGATAAATATCACCTGAAGAATAGTATAATCTTTCCGTCTAAAGTAAACAGCAGAATATCCACAGCAAAATTTCTTTATATTACTGATCAAAATTTTATATACTGGTCAATCGAATATGAAGAATAAAGGTTTATTGATTTCATACTGTCAGAATTACCAATTTGTTGAGAAGTTCATTCCCCATGTATATACTCTTTGACTCTCGTCTCATTGTGACTGCTGTCGACTAAGTATTAAGCACTTTCTATTTCATTCTTTTTTAATTATGTTAAGCGTGTCATTAAAATGATAGATCAGATTCTTGATTAAATCATTAGTAAGACTAAACTTTTCAGTCACTATATTACTTATGCAATTAATCAAGATATGAATGACTTTATTTAATCCCTTCTTGTATGTTTGTATGACAGACAATTAACTTTAGAATTTACTGATCAATTAATCACTAACAGTAAAAACGAATATGTACTGCAAAAAAAAGGGTTTATCATTGCCAAGTAATCGGCATAGTAAGTATTTTTACTGTTATTGTACTGAACGAGAACACAAGAGGGAATAGTCAAATGTATTTGAAGTCAAAATTACAGAATCTCTTAGTAAAATCTGATAACCATACAGTAAATACTTCATTTGAAAAATGTCATTCAATCGTCTCATTTTTTATTGTTCTTTCGTTTCCACATCAATCACTCTTTGTTCTTGTTCTCTTTTCTTTGATCTTCTTCACCTTATGCCGCCAAACATTTCAATTTCGATTGATAATACATACTACTTATATTTATCGACATCAGTAGCACATATCATTTCAACTGAATCCATTTTTGTGATGCAATTTTTTCTATCCTCCTATAGACATACATTTTCCATATAATGATATAAATAAATCTATAATATCAAATAATACAAACATTTGATTGTTACTATTTCGAATATTTATCAACTCTCTAATATAAGTTTTTTTTCATCGAGATCATGGACTGGTTGATGTTAGACCACCGTGGAAAACCTGGAAGCACTGAACAGCCGTTTCGTCCTATTATTGGACTCTCTAATATAAACTAACTCTTCATTAATATATACTTTTTTTCAGATTCAATATTTCAATTTCTATCTAACTAAATATCTCATTTGATTGTTCTTTTAGTGCTTAGAAACTATAGAGACAATAATGACATTTCTGCTTGAAATGACCGCTTAAGTAAGTTTATATTACTATGAATAAAAGAAAACTATGATCATGTATCAGAAGCGGTTTTGTGGAGATTTTACAAATTTCACTGATTGAAATCATAAGTCAACTGAAGCTAGACCACCATGGAAAACCTGGAAGCATTGGACGGCCGTTTCACCATAGTAGGCGACTCCTCAGAAGTGTTCATCCACGATCCCGCCCCCCCCTGCGAGATTCGAACTCAGAACCTATCAGTCTTGCCCCAGGCGCCTAACCAACTAGACCATTGAGCCGGCTGGCATCCGACGGTGTTAGTGTCTTACTTCAACCAATCCACAAAGTTGTGCACTGCTGAGGAGTCTTGTACTAAGATGAAACGGCCGTCCAGTGCTTCTAGGTTTTCCATGGTGGTCTAGGTTCAATTGACTCATGATCTCAATCAGTATGATCATGTATACTTTTTTAAAGTTCATAGAGTAATTCAATATATAAAATGAACTATTTTGTTTTATTATTTCAGATTTACATATTGAATTATGAAATTTTAACCTCTTTAATAAATAATACAATAAAATAATAATAATAATTGAAAGTAGTTTTGTTTATTTTTGAATGGTTGGTTAAGTGGTTAAGCGCTATTACGCAAGACTGATAAGTCCTGAGTTCGAACCTTGCAAAGAGGGATCGCGGATGCGCACTACTGAGAAGTCCCACAATAGGACAAAACGGCTGTTCATTGCTTCCAGGTTTTCCATGGTCGTCTAGCTTCAGTTGACTTATGATCTCAATCACTGAAAAAAAATAGATAAGATGAGCAGAGAAATTATATTTCTGATATTTTGTGACTTAATGTAAGCCAATTCTTCTTAGCAGATTGACTCTGAAAAAGTATCTACTTACCTACTCCTGTTACTCCTCGTGGAGGAGCATAGGCTGCCCACCAGCACTCTCTATCTAACCCTGTCCTAAGAAGTCCTTTTCAGTTGTTATTCATCTTTTTTATATCTGCTTCCATTTCCTAACGTAGTGTGTTATTCGAACTTCCTCTTTTCTGTTTCCCTTCAGGATTACAAGTTAGGGATTGCTTCGTGATTCAATTTGTTGATTTGCACAATGTATGTTCTATACACTTCTAACGTCTTTTCTTAATTTCCTCTTCAACTGGAAGCTGGTTTGTTCTCTCCTAAAGTAGGCTGTTGCTGATGGTATCTGGCCAATGGGTGTCGAGTATCTTGTGTAGAAAACTATTTATAAATACTTATAGTTTCTTGATAATGGTTGTAGTAGTTCTCCATGTTTCATCTCCGTACATTAGAACTGTCTTGACGTTCGTATTGAAGAATCTGATTTTGATGTTGGTTGACAGTTATTTTGAGTCCCTATGTTCTGAAGATGTGGCTTACTTTAAGTTATGAAACGACAGAAATATAGTTTTTCCACTCATTGGGATACAATAAATAAATGTATTATTAACTTTCTAACAAATGCTCGATTTATTTGAAACTGTCAAGTCGAACCTTGATATTGATACCTATAAAATAATTTAAGTCATGACCAGACCACCGTCGAAAACCTGGAAACACTGGACTGTAATAAATGAATGGTTGAGTAAGATCATAAATCGATTAAAGTTAGACACTGACACCATTGGATGCCGGCTCAGTATTCTAGAGGTCAAGCGTTCGCCAGTGAGACCGAAGGTCCAGGGTTGGAGTCCCATGTGCCGAGATCGTAGATGTACACTGCTGAGAAGTCGTGTTCTTGAACGAAACAGCCATTGAGTGCTTGTTAACATTACTTGATGAAATGATACACTTACATTTAATAGTTCAGCTGTTATATTGAAAAACTGAATATCGATCAGTACAATATATTGTAGAGGCTAATTTCCTCTATATCTGACTTCAATAAATAGTATCCCGTTAACTGAGTATTTAATGCAGACTAAATCTCCTAGTAGAATTATGAATTTAATCGAGATCATTCAAAAGCCTGAACATCAGTTATAGAGATAGTTCATTGTTAAAGATTGGTAAAATCCGCAGGCGTACAGGAGGCAAGCAGGCAGGGAAACCAAGAGTGTGTGTGTGAGTGCTAAAAATCCATATATATTTTTGAGTGTTAATCAAGTATGGATAAATTATTGATTATCTGTGTATTACAACCAATGGGAGAATAGATTGGAAGTTGATGTGCAGACATGTGCTCAATCATACTCACACAGAAAATTACATGATGGATCAAGTGTCTTGTTAGGTTCGTTAAGCTTGAATACTACTACTGATTCGGTTTATTCGGAACTGAACGAAGTATCAGGATTCAGAGACTCAATAGGCTATTCTGGTCCATTGTCCCCGACTCAGCTAACTCGATCAAGAAGTCTTGGTAAGACGTAGAAGTGTATTCTACAGGCAACCAGCAGATACCAGGTCAATCAGGCACACAAATCAAGTGTATTTATACAAATATTTATAATCGATATTGTCATGGAAATTTTTTAAACATTAATCAGTAAGTTCGTCAATCGACTGCCTTTTCAAATATTTAAACATTTGATCGACTAGTTCATCAATTGACTGCCATTCAAATTACGAAATATGAGTTTTGAGGATCTATCGTCCCTAACACTCCTCCCCTTTTTAATAGCGTGCTTTCCTGGGGTCGACCTGCATCTTGACTGTTGCTCGCCGCTGTCGGAGAGGCCACCGTCTGAGACGTGTTTCAGCTTGTTGTTGAGGTTTTTCTTGTGATAGGGTTGCCGGTAAGTTGAATGTGTCTAGCAGGATGTCAAGAAGAATATTTGCTTCTGTTGATGGGCGGTCTGGGGCTAACCGTTTGCGTAGCTGATTCCGATGGCGTTGCCAACTGTCGCTGCCTACCTCAACTTCGTACATGACTCGGCCAACTCTTCTAACCACTCGCGCTTCCGTCCATGGACCATGGGTTGGTCTGTAGTCACGGGCAAACACAGGACATCCCACTTCGTATGTGAATTGCTTTTCGAACTTTGTCCGTACTGGTGTCGGTGAATTACTTGGAAAGAAAAGTCAATTTTCGATTGATTTGATCATTGTGAGTTTTGTTCAACATTACTTCCCTTCTAATTCAATGTGATGATCATTCAGTGTAGTATCTGATTGTTTTCCCAGTATGATATTTTCTTCTGTATAATAAACCATATTCTTGTATTTACTTGACATGAACTATGATCAGTAAGTGATTTCTTATAACTGAGTATGTGATTTAATCCTAATTATTATTCAAAATGGGTGTACAATCAATATATAAATGAGTGTATTTTAGACCATTATGATTCGTCGTCGTCATAGTGTATTGGGGCTA